GGCCGATTATGGCCTCAAGTCGTCCAAGGACATCGATCCCGTCCGGGCTCTCAACGTCAAGACAAAGGAGCTCAAGCTGTCGTCAGAGGCAACGGCTGCTTCGTCGTCCTCGTCTGTGCCGTCCTCTTCGCGGCCTGCCGTCGATGCGAAGCCATCGGGAGCAGCTGCGGCGGGGGCGGCACCTGCGGCCAGCAAGCCTTCGGCTGCGCCGCCGAACGCTGCGGCCGCGCCTGCGACCGTCAAGCCGCTGCAGACGGCCAAGAAGGCGGATGCGCCCAAGACGGCGCAGCAGAAAGAGGCGGAGCGGCGGATCAGCACGATGAGCGAGGCGCAGATCATGGAGAAGCTGCGGAGCGTCGTGAGCCCCGACGACCCCAACCTCCTCTACAGCAAGATGAAGAAGGTCGGCCAGGGCGCGTCGGGCTCGGTGTTTGTGGCCAAGACCCTGGCGACGGGCCAGCGGGTCGCCATCAAGACGATGGACCTGTCGATGCAGCCGCGCAAGGAGCTCATCGTCAACGAGATCCTCGTCATGAAGGAGTCTCAGCACCCCAACATTGTCAACTTCCTCGACTCGTTCCTCGTCCGCAACAACGAGCTGTGGGTCATCATGGAGTACATGGAGGGCGGCGCGCTGACCGACGTCATCGACAACAACACGCTCGAGGAGGACCAGATCGCGGCCATCTGCTTCGAGACGTGCAAGGGCCTCGAGCACCTGCACAGCCAGAGCATCATCCACCGCGACATCAAGTCGGACAATGTGCTGCTCAACGCCTCGGGACAGGTCAAGATCACCGACTTTGGCTTCTGCGCCAAGCTGACGGACCAGAAGAGCAAACGCGCCACGATGGTCGGCACGCCCTACTGGATGGCGCCCGAGGTGGTCAAGCAGAAGGAGTACGGCGCCAAGGTCGATATCTGGTCGCTCGGCATCATGGCCATCGAGATGATCGAGAACGAGCCGCCCTACCTCGACGAGGAGCCGCTCAAGGCCCTCTACCTCATCGCCACCAACGGCACGCCCACCCTCAAGAAGCCAGAGACGCTGTCCAAGGCGCTCAAGTCGTTCCTCGCAGTCTGCCTCTGCGCCGACGTAAAGAGCCGCGCCAGCGCCGACGAGCTGCTCCAGCACGCCTTCCTCAAGATGGCCTGCCCGCTCTCGAGCCTCGCGCCGCTCCTGCGCTTCAAGAACAGCCGCCCCGACCGTTGATGCGTGCGGACGCCGCGGCCCACCCCAGCTGCTCGGCCGACGACCAGCGTACTTTGCCGCATTTGCCCCCGCATCACACGGACACGCCTTTCCCATGCCCTTGCTCCCCATCCGTGCGCATGTTAGCTCCCCTTGACCTCTGGCTCTGGGCCCCTATCCTCCTCATCGTCTTTTTCCTTCTTCCTGCGCCCCCAAACGTCCCTTTCCGTGCCACACACAAGTCATACCATGTCCTCGACGCTGCCTGCGCGCTCAATGCCATCATGCCCTCCTCCATCCGCCATCGTCGGTGCACCGCGCGGGCCCAGAGCAGGCAGCGAAGTCGAAGTCGAAGTCGAAGCCGAGACTTGAAACCAGACACTAAAAGAACATTAATAGGTGTATGTACGTAATCTTCAGCGGCTCGAACATCAACCGCCCTTATAGCTCAGCTGGTACGAGCGTGCGACTGAAGCACAGTTCAGTTTATGGCCTTCGGCTCCTCGAGTCGGAACAAATCGCAAGGTCACCTGTTCGACCCAGGTTGAGGGCATTTCCTTTTAACTTTTTCGTTCTCGTTCCCCCTCCTTTTGTAGCTGTTTCCGGAGACGAGCCGAGACACGATGGCCAGCTGCAAACTCTCTCTGTGTAGTCAACGTCGACGATATTCTCCTTCCACCCACGACCGCATGGCGTTGAGGCTTTTTTGTTTTGCCGGCGGGCTGATGCGCGTTCACCACGTTTTGGTAGACGATCCTGGACGCTTGCGAGTCCGTTGCTGCCTTTGGCGCTGCTGCTGGGCGTCGACGAGGATCGCTGGTGCGGAGCGAGGCAGCCACGTGCCGGTCTGCGCCCCGAGAAGGCTGCATGCCAAGACCAGCTGTCAACCGAGATTGCATGTACGGCTTCCGGAACGTGCGCGGGATGACGCTAAGCTGAGAGACCGTTGGGTTGCCTGCCCTACCCCCCCACCTGCATCGCAGAGCTGCGGTCGACCATTGGTGCGCACCCTGCGATGGTGCCGTCACTACTACTATTTCTCGAGCGCAGGGGCGGACGGCACCCGAACTCTCGACGAGCCTTGAGCCAAACCTCTTTGGTATAAAGCGGGGGACTCGAGGGGGTCGACACAGCCCCGCCGTCTGTATCGTTGTCCCTACACCTCCTACTCGTGCTTGTTTCGCCTTCCCTCCAGCCTCCCCTTAGACCTCTCTTCCCGCGACGATGTTGCTCAGACCCCTGCTCGCGTTCTGCTCGACGGCGTTCGCTCTAGCTGCTGCTGCCCCCGCTGCCATCCAGGGCGACCAGCAGACACTCGTGTTGGCGAGGGCCGATGCCAACTCGACCGCCGGCAGCACCGCGCTCGCGACGGAGCGAGGACCTTCCAAGGTGTTTAGCGTGCCTCCGAGCATCATAGTCCCCAAGGTCAAGAACGTCCAGGTGGGCGAAAGGCCTTACTTCCTCGTCAGCAACATGACTGATTCGCCGCTCAAGAAGCGCCTCGAATCGTGCTCCGAGGACCCGCTGCGCGTCACCCAGTTCTCGATCTCGCACCGCGGCGCTGCGCTCCAGTTCCCGGAGCACACGGTGCAGGGCGTCCACGCCGCCGCTCGTCAGGGTGCAGGCGTGATCGAGTGCGATGCCAGCTTCACAAAGGACCGCAAACTCGTCTGCCGACACTCGCAGTGCGACCTGCACACCTCGACCAACATCCTCGCCATCCCAGAGCTGGCGGCCAAGTGCAATCAGACGTTTGTGCCGGCGTCGGGAAACAAGCCCGCCAGCGCCCAGTGCTGTACCTCGGACATCACGCTGGCCGAGTTCAAGAGCCTTTGCGGCAAGCAGGACGGCTTCAACGCCTCGGCCACCCGTCCCGAGGATTTCCTCTACGGAACGCCCGCCTGGCGCACCGAGCTGTACGACACGTGCGGCGAGCTCATGACGCACCAGGACTACATCCGCGAGGTGGATGCGCTCGGGCTGAGCTTCACCACTGAGGCCAAGGCGCCCGTCGTCGCCATGCCGTTCCAGGGCGAGTACACGCAGGACGAGTTCCTGGACCAGATCGTCGACGAGTTCAAGCAGGCCAACGTGCACCCTTCGCGCGTGTGGCTGCAGTCTTTCCGCCTATCGGACGTCGTCTACTGGGTGCAGAAGCACCCGGACTTTGGACGCCAGGCCATCTTCCTCGACGAGCGTACCGACACGCCCGAGGGGCTCGTCAACGCCACAGCGCTCTCGACGATGCAGTCGATCGCGGCGCAGGGCGTGCAGATTATCGCGCCGGCGTTTCCCTGGCTGCTGACCGTCGACAACGCCACCAACGAGATTGTGCCGTCCGAGTACGCCAAGAATGCCAAAGAGGCCGGGCTCAAGATCATTACGTGGAGCCTGGAGCGATCCGGCCCGCTGGCCAAGGTGGCGTCGGGCAAGGACTACTACTACACGACGCTCTGGAGCGTCATCAAGAGCGACGGGCAGCTGATGGACGTCGTCCACGCCCTCGCATCCAAGGTCAAGGTGCTCGGCATGTTCTCCGACTGGCCCGCCACTGTCACCTACTACGCCAACTGCTTTGGCCTGCTCGGCGGGTACCAGGATCCCGACCGCAACTGAGGCACGGCGATCCTCGGACGCAGACCCTGCGCCGTAGAATAGCGACTCGATGGTGGGCGGTAGGCAGCATCGTTCTGCGAAAGAAGACGGACGATAGAGGCTGCAAACCGATAGAATGGCAGCATGGTGCCACACAAAATGAGCCCGAGCCTGCCTGTACCGGACTCGCTAGGATGTTGCTCTCTCTTAATCTCTGCTTCGGTCCGAAGTGGTTGGCATGCAGACTGTCAGAGGTGTATCTTGAGCCCGCCACCGCCCCCCTCCGCGGGCAAGCCAAGTACGCCCCGGCCGGCCTGCACTGGCCTCCACGTTTGTTGGCCTCTGATACTTTTAACGCGTCGCGCCTGTTACGCGCGCGCGTCTTGGCCGCCTGGCCAGACCTGCAGCCAGGCCCAGCGCAGGGGGCGGCTGCAGCCGCTGGCTTCGACTTTGCAGGGTGGCAGCGTGGCCCCCAGCCCCCACCTTGCCCACAGCACCACCAACACCAACACCGCCACCACCACCGCCGCCGCCGCCGCCGCCGCCGCCAGCCTCCAGCCATGGCCTCGATATCGGCCCCATCGTCCTCGGACGACGTGCTGAAACAGCTGCAGCGCATCCGTGCCAATCTCGCCTCGGCTGACGTTGCCGCCCCGCCGCAACACCGCTCGGTCGTCGCGCCCGCCTCGCCCTCGAAACACCGCCCCTCGCCCTCGATAATATCGGCAGAGGCAAAGCGGGGCGCGAAGCTGCTGCAGCAACAGAGGCAGGATGCCCTCCAGTACGCCACCGCCAGAGCACAGGCGCTCACCGCCGCCGCAGCAGCCAGGTCCTCTCCAGGCGACACCTCAGCTTTCTCCAACATGGACCACGCCGCGCGCGGCTCCAGCTCAGGCGGCCCTTCTTCCTACCTGACCATCGCAGAACGCACTGCTGCCGCACAGCGCAGGCGACAAGAAGCTGCCGCACAAGAGGAGCGTGCCAGGCAGATGCGCGATGCCGCCGCCGCACGCGCCTCGATGAGATCCGCCGGTTTCAACGAGTCGCCTCAGCCCCGGCAAGGGCCGGCCGCAGGCTCATCTGGCTGCGACATCCTCGATGCGGCGGCACAGCAACAGCAGGGCCCTCAGCGCGACGAGCGCCTAGCCCTGGTCGAATCCCTCGAGCCCGGCCCACCGCAGCTCCCGCCCAGGCGGCAGGAGGACGACTACGACAAGCTCGAACCCTACTCTGGCACCCGTCTCAGCTCCCGCCGCATCTCGCACGACGACGTCACCGACTACCTGCAGGGGCGCTACTACATCCCACCTTCGATGATTTACTCGGTGGCCAGGCCCACCTACAAGGACGTGGACCCTACAGAGTCCAGGCGGGCGGGGTACGGCAAGGACAGCGGGCGCGACGGCGACTACGAGATCCCGGTCGACGGCGATTGGCTGACGATCGCCGTCATCGCCGAAAAGGGACCCCTTCTCCATACGAAATCAATGTTCGGGAGCGACGATGAAGGCAGCGACGAGGAGGGCGGGAGAGGTCCCGGCGCAAACAAGGGCGGCAAGGGGCCGCTGGCCTTCCGCGAGGTGGCGAGGGGTGCCGACGGCAAGCTGCGCCTCGAGCTCGACGAGGGCGACGAGCGCATGACTGCCTCGGAGCGCGCCAAGCTCAGGCGAGCCATGCGACGGAACGACGCCGAAGACGAGCTCGAGAGGGAGCGCAAGAGGATGGCGGGCCGCTCGCGGCTGTTCAACATCATGCAGCTCGTCGACCTCGGCACCAGCGGTCAGAAGGCGGCGTCGGGCGACCGCCAGCTCAAGCTCATGAGCTTCGAAGCCGACGAGGTCGACGAAAACATGCGACCCCTCAACTCGGAGCGCGCCGACATCCAGCGCCACCTCGACGCGATGCGGCGCGACAAGCGAAGGTTCGTCAACGGAAGCAGAGGCGCATTCGAACTGCTGCACAAGCAGACGCCGGGCACGCTAGTCGCCATCCTCAACCCCAGAATCACACAGCCGAGGTACAAGAAGGACAAGATCCTCACGCTCAAGCCGCGCTCGGCCGAGGACATCCTCATCATTGGACAGACGCGCGACCTGACGACGTGCTGCACAAAAAAGCGCGACGGCTCCCGCTGTGGCAACTATGTCGATGTCCGGCTGCGCAGACAGGGAACGACCGGGAAGAAAGCGGCCGAAGATATGGTCTGCGACTACCACCTCACCCAGTCGATTGGCGGTATGCAAAGGGGGCGCATGGAGTTTGCCAACTCAACCAACGGTCTAGGCTCCTTGCCGCCCGGGGCGCGGAGTCAGCGAGGCAGCAGCGGTGGCGGGGGCGGCGGTCTCGGCGATGGGAAAGCTGGAGGTTGGGGCAAGAGGGGCGGCGGCGCGGGTGGCTCCCAACCGTATCAAACCAGGACGTTTCAGCCGCGCCACGGCAACATGGATGAAGGGCTGTCGTCCAACGCCGGCAGGACGTTCACCGTCGAGGCCAGCCAGCCCGTTGCCGAGGGCAAGCCGACGGACCCGGAGAGTTGGCGGTTCGACATTGGCGACAAGCTCGGGCGCGGTCGGAGCGAAAAGGAGGCGAGGCTGCGCAAGCAGATGGAAAAGGACGAGCTCGAGCGGCGCATGCGCGCACGGTTTGGCGACGCCGTCATGCCCAACTCGCACCCAGGGGTTGCCATGAGAAAGAGGGTGATCGAGGTCGACGACGGGGACGAAGACGGCGGCGATGACGACGATGACGATGACGACGACGATGAACAGGTCCTGCCTGGCTCGCCGAGTCAGGATCGTTCGCAATCGCAGTCGAGACGACCAAGGAAGCGCGATGGGCTGGAAGCCGCGGCGGCCAAGCTGATAGATCCACAGGGCTCGGCGGCCAAGCTGCTCGAAGAGGCCAAGAGGACGATTGAGGAGCGCAAGAGGAAGGCCGAAGAGACAAAAGCAAAGGCGCTCGAGAAGCGGCGCAAGATCCTCGGCATCAAGTCGACGGCCGCTGCGCCCGCCGACAAGGGCAGGAGCAAGAGCAGATCGGCCTTGGATCCACTGAGTTCGAGCGACGAGGATCGTCCACCCGCCGCGGTCGTCGACATAGCCGCTGCCTCCAACGTCGGGGGCCGATTGAAGGCGACCTCTGCCCCCGTTCTGCCGAGCAGCACCAGCACACCCGGTAGAGCGACGCCGAAGCGTTTCAGCTATTCGGCCGAGGCGATCAAGTTGATGGGCTTCGACCCGCTCGCACGCCGCAATGGCCCGACGTCGTCTTCCTCCCCTTCGTCTTCCGGCGCAGCGAACGGGGCTGGACGGGACTCGCGTTCGGCGCTGCTGGACCGTATCAAGAAGCCGTCGTGCCTGCCCCGACCTCCGACGGGGGCACAGCTCAAACTCAAGAAGCAGCACCGCCCGAGGTACAAGACCTTCGACGAGGGCGACGGCAAGGGCCATACGCACGGAGCACGCAGCGGCAGCGGCGGCCGGGGCGAGGGGGACAGTGGAGCGCCTTTGGAACTGTTGCAGGGCATCGACTTTGACTCGGACGGAGAGAGTGATGCGCTCGACTTGGACTTCCCTACCGTCAAGCGGCGCGGATCGGCACTCGGCAGCGGGCCGTCAGCCAATGCCGGCAACGACCAAAGCGACGACGAGGAGGATCTCGAGATATTTTAGCTTGCAGTCGCCTCGAGATCTTCCATCTTGCAATCGCCATCTACCGTTGACGAAGTCTCGTCGTTTCAGAGAGACCCCTCAGGCACGCCTGCCGCAGCACGAGTCGCTCTAAAAGGTGTGGAGCGGGTCTTGGTCCATCTTGGAGATGAGGACCGTCGCGTCCTTTGGGAGGCGGTCCCGCAGGCGATGCTGGAGGACGTCGCGGAGGTACTTGCTGTTGCGCCAAATGCACAACGGCGAGGCCGGTGCGGAAGGGTCAAGGCGGCATAGCAGCGGCGTCAGGGGACGCAACCAGGCAGCGAGTAGAGGGCGCGGATCGCGGCAAGATGGAGGCTGACGTACCGCTCTGTGTTTGTGTGGTTGGTGACAATGACTGAAGTGCCGGCCGCCTTGTAGGCGAGGACCTCGTGCTGGCGTTGCAGGGAATGGTGGAACAGGACGGGACACGAGGTGAGTGCCGGCTCGAGGAATGGGACGATCAGGTGCGGGATGGACCTACATGCGAAAGCTCTCCGGTCAATACTGCGCAGATCAAAGGGGCAGGCGAGCGAGGCAAAGGGTGAGCTTCCGGACGCAGCATTTGGGGCCAGGTTGAAGGCGGAGCTGTCACTCACGCAGATCCGCTTTGACGCCTCTGAAGACCGACGAACCCGAGCCGGCGCAGACGCCGATGGTCTTGATGGCCTTGCCGCTCGGGCAGCCTTGTACTGTGTGCGTGCGGCGGCGCAGGCGGAGCGTGGAGGAGGATTGCGGTCAGCGTGGATGCATGCGAGAGCGGCACTCGTCGGCGGCAAGCTCGCGAGGGTCACACTCACCGTGATCGAGCTGCAGGTTGGCCTTAACTCTGTCGACTGCCTGCTCAAAGGTGATTTCGCGGTCGAGGGTGACGAGCCTGCCCATGCCTGCGCCCGACTGCCCGTTGGTGTCCTTTTCCTTGGAGGGCACGATGGGCTGCCAGTTTCCGGTGGTGAGGATCCTGTGTCCCTCTTGTCCGCCGAGGTCGGGCATCGAGTCGTGGGATACGACGACGGCGAGCCAGTCGTTTATACCGCCTGCGGCGGCGTCGAGGCTGGTGTGCGGGCAATAGAGGCTCACGCCGTGCTGGAGCAGGCGTAGGATGGAAGCCTGCTGCGGGTCGTTGTACGTGATCGACTTGAGGCCGCGGAAGATGAGCGGGTGGTAGATGACGGCCACGCCGATGCGCGGCTGCCCTTGGTTGTGCGTTGAGACGATTTCGTCGCACACCTGCGTCGTCAGGTCTATGCCGAGCATGACGCCGTTTGCCTCGTGGCCTGGCGCTGCCGCTGACTGTGGCGCCGCCGTGGCGCTGGTGGAGGAAGGCGGTGTGGGCGACTCGAGCAGAAGGCCGACGTTGTCCCACGATGCGTCGGCCAGGGAGAGGGGCGCAATGTCGTGCATGGCGGCCATGACCGAGGTCAGGAGCGGGTTGGATGTGGCCGTCGTCGGGACGGGCGCCGCTGAAGTCATCTTGCGGGAGTTGCAGCGAGGGATAGTGGTGATGGATCGCAGCAGGGAGGGGCTCAGGCGTAGGAGGTGGGTCATGGGCCGATGTCTGGACGACGAGCAGGCACAGGCGATGGGTGATGAAGCGAGTTGGAGGAGCAGAGGGAGGCGAAGACTCGCGGAGGCAGGCAGTCAAAGGAGCCCGCAAAGCAGGCGGTCCATGCGCACAAAACCAAACGTGTGGAGGCACCCCAGATCGACTGGAAAGCTTCTTCCAGCACCGCGTACTTGTCCCCACCCGTGTAGCATCTCGCGACGTCGGCCCGACTCTGAGCGGCAGGCGCCAGGCTAGGCAGGGCCAAGCGCTGGGTGGCTGCCTCTCTCTCGCGCGGGAAACGCTGTCAGCGTGATCGGGCCTGGCAGCTGGCGCCGCGTCGGCGGGGCCGAGCCCGCATTTCGGGTCCTGGCTGAGCCAAGCCAGGGGACCCTCGCCTGCGTCTCTGAGAAAGAGAGGCAGAGAGCAAGCAGCAGCACCAGCGGCACCAGGTAGCGCTTGGACCGCCCGTCCCCTGGCGCTCTCCACGCCGCAGCCTCGTCTCTCTCACCTTACCCCATCTTCCGCACTACAAGCCCGCTCGTCCTCAGCACCGTCGTCCTTCTTGCTGCCGTTCTCTCGCCCATCACTTGTGCCGATCCCTCCCCACCCACCTCGCCTTCCGATCCGACCACTTCTGCACAGCATGAACCGCGGCGGAGGTCCCCAGAACATTTTCCGGACGCTCGAGCGGCTGCGTCAGCAGGCCCAGAACGCTTCCAGCCAGTTCCAGCAGCAGGCAAAGGCTGGCGGTGGCGGCGGCGGCGGCGGCTCCTCATCGGGAGGTGGCGGTGGCGGACCGCCCAACCTCGGCAGCATCCTCGGCGGCTCGGCGGGCATCGTCGCCCTGGTCGCGTTGGGCCTCGGCGTCAACTCGTCGCTCTTCAATGTCGACGGTGGTCATCGCGCCATCAAGTACTCGCGCATCCACGGTGTCAAGAGCACCATCTACAACGAAGGAACCCACTTTATGCTCCCTTGGTTCGAGACGCCCATCGACTACGATGTCAGGGCCAAGCCGAGGAGCATCGCTTCCCTCACCGGCACCAAGGGTGAGTCGAGTGGCCGCCCGTAGACGCACGTCGCTTGCTGCGCGCGGCGAAAGGCTGACCTCTCCACTTTCGCTCCCTCCGTCCGGCTCCTTTTGCTGCTGCTGCGCTCGCCCTTTGCCATGCCACCTTGCGACCGCTTCCCTGGCCCACTGCTCCCTCCTTCCCCGGCTCGTAGACCTGCAGATGGTCTCGCTCACCTGCCGTGTGCTCTCAAGACCCGATGTCAACTCGCTGCCCGTCATCTACCGCGAGCTGGGCACCGACTACGACGAGCGCGTGCTGCCGTCGATTGTCAACGAGGTGCTCAAGTCGGTGGTGGCGCAGTTCAACGCATCGCAGCTCATCACGCAGCGAGAGATGGTCTCGCGGCTGGTGCGCGACAACCTGACGCAGCGCGCGCGCCGCTTCAACCTGGTCCTCGACGACGTGTCCATCACCCACGTTTCCTTCTCGCCCGAGTTCACCCACGCCGTCGAGGCCAAGCAGATCGCGCAGCAGGCGGCGCTGCGGGCCGCCTTCCTCGTCGACCAGGCGATCCAGGAAAAGGCCAGCATCATTGTCAAGGCTCAGGGAGAGGCCAAGAGCGCAGAGCTCATCGGAGAGGCCATCAAGAAGAACAAGGGCTTCCTCAAGCTCCGAAAGCTCGAGGCCGCACGCGACATTGCCACCATCCTCAGCAACAGCGGCAACAAGATCATGCTCGACGCCCAGAGCCTGCTCCTCAATGTGTAAGTGGCGGTTCTATGGCGGCGGCGGCGGCATCGCCATTGAACGGTGCGACGACAAAGCTGACGGCCCCCTTCGAACTCTCCCTCTCCTGTGTCCATTTCTTCGCATGACAGCGCCGACGAGGATCCGGATGCGCTGCAGAACCGCAAGCAATAAGAGGCACGGCGGCGCCGCTTCGATCCGTTTCGCCGGTTGCCTCTCTCCCTTTGGTGGACGGCCATCGTGCGCCCTCCCTCCCTCCTCCCTGTACTCAGTGCCAGCTTCTGGCCGTCGTCGGTGTCATCTGGCTATTCCTCCTTCCCCACTCTCGCTCGCTTGCTTCCCTCCCTCACATCCCCACTCTGTCATATCGAGCCTGCCCAAAAGGAGGACGGTTAAGCGCCAAGCTCTGCCAAGCTCCATCTGTGCGATCAGTCGGGCGTGGCCATGGGCCGTTGCTCCTGTGCTGTGCCCGTGCAGGCGTCGAACGGCGAGAACGAGGGGCTTTGCTTACGTGTTGCTCTCGGGGCCTGGCCGGACACGGCGCGAGGGCCAGGGCCAGCCTCCACACCTTTTTTGGACTTGGCTGCTTCGTGCCAGAAAGGTCTCTGTCCAAACCTGTCGACTGTCCTAACCGTCCTCGACACCGACCGTGACCCTCACCTCCCCCTCTCCACCACTTTCCCCAGTCCTTCTTCTGTTCTTGTTGCTCCTCAGCACGACACAGTTTCCTGTATCAACACTGCTGTCGTCAATCTTTGAACCTCCTCGCCACATTAGGTACGGACGTCTTGCGCCCTATCCGCTCGGAATCGTGTCCCCTGAAGCAAGGCGCCAGGCAACATGGCAAGGGCAATTTCCAACCGCGAGTCCGATGAGCTGATGAAGAAGACCAAGGCCGATGCGCTCAAAAAGTGTGGCGACGTCGTAAAAGGTGAGCCACATCACGTCCTCTTCCTTGATCGGCCGCAAGCTGGAGCTGCGCTTGGACGACCGAGGAGTCCTGAACTTGATCTCGCTCGATGCCATCCCGCTTCTCCTCGTGCCCGGCGTGCGGCTGCACGACTCTGCTACGCGATTGCCACCGCTGCAGCCTTTGCCGACTGCTCTTCGGGCCGCACCGTCTCGGTCGCGTGGGCATGTAGGGGCGAGCACAAGGCGTTGCAAGACTGCCTGAAGCAGTAGTGAGTTCCCCGGCCCTCGATCTTCTCGCTTCCCCAGACGCGGATTGCAACGGGTGCAAGATGAGACTTATCTGCTTCTCCTCATTTCTCTGTGCACCGTCGACGGCCCGCCCAGCACGTCGCCCGAGGCATTTGAGAAGGTCAAGGCGGATTACCTCGCCAGCAACCGGTCCTAGCCTCTTCGTCTCTCCCTCCCACTCTGTCTCCCTCTTCCTCTCTCTCTAAGTCTCTCGTGCGCGCCGTGCACTTTTCTCGTTGTTCAGGACGGAACCTTGCTCCGCCTCTATCGGATCTAACAAACACAGCTTTTGGCGAAAGACCAGGTACGTGTCCGATCGACGGAGCGGACCGTTCCCTAACCGCCAGCGACAGTCGCGAGGCTGACTGCAAGACACGTGGCTGTGCTTGGGGAACGCGTACGTCTCCAATTGCAAGCGGGCAAGTTTGATCCTCTCGCGTGCTCCGCCGGCGACAGCTTCGCGATGCTCGCCATTCGTTGTACCATGCTTGCTGGCTTCGGCCGTGGCGCCTCTACGCCGCTGACTCTGCCCGGTGGGACTGGACTACGTTGCGGCGTGCTCCATAGAAAGGAGACAGAGTGTGACAAAAGTCAGTGCAGGGGCAACGATCGGCTGTCGAGCTGATTTCCGTCTCTGGCCATCATCAGACCTGGCGTGCGGCTGTCAGGCTGGGCGAGGCCAGGCAAATCAGATATGTATACGTAGATGGCCTGGCAGGCCTGCCTGCGGCGCAGCGCGCGGCCTGCCTGCAAGTCGCGTTGGATTTGGGCGGAGAGGCAGGCCTGCTAGCCGGCCTGGCCTGGCCTGGCCTGGCGCGCCGGCCCTGCCAAGCACGCGAGACGGCGGGTCGGCGTCGGTGCAGGGACCTCGCTCCTCTGGCACAGCTTTCCACCTTGCTTGCTCTTCCTTCGATCCGCCCCAAGCACCGCCCCCATCCACGCTCTGCTCGACGTTCACTGACAGCGACACTGTCACTACTCCCGCCATCACCGACATCGTCCCCGCCACAGTCACGTCGCTATGAATGTCCGAGAGGCGCGGACCGTCATGGTCCTGACGGGCTCCCACACCATCACCGCCGGCTACGGCATCCACGAGATCTTCCGCCGCCCCTCGGTCACCCTCACTGCCCGCGTGGGTCTGCCGCGGTCCAAGGCCGACACCCTTATGCCCGCCTCCGCATCCGCATCCGCATCGACATCAGCGTCTCATCCGCCAGACTACACCCAGTACCTGGTCGGCGCAGCTCTCGACGAGGCGGAGCGCAAGGGCCAGGACCTCGCCATCTTCTGGCCCATGCGCCACGGCGTCATCCGCGACTGGCAGCAGATGATTGCCCTGTGGAGCCACGTCCTCTTTGCTCTGCTGCCCGTCAAGCGCTCCGCCAACGACTCGTACATCCTCCTCAGCCTACCCGCCCCCATCTCCCGCGACACCCACACGCTGCTCGCCCAGGTCTTCTTCCAGCACTTCAACGCCCCTGCGCTCTGCATCGTCGAAAAGCCCCTCCTCGCCGCCTACGGCGTGGGAACTATGAACGCCACCGTCGTCGACCTCGGATGGGAGGGCTGCGACGTAACCCCGGTCTTTGAGTGCCAGGTCCAGCACAACGCCAATGTCAAATCGGCGGTCGGCGCGCGGCACTGCACCCTCTTCCTTGCCCACCTCCTTCGCCGCGACCAGAGCATCGTCAGCGCACTCACCGCGCTGCTGCGCTACAAGCGCAAGAGCAATACGTCGTCGTCGTCAGCGGCCTCGACGGCCCAAGGGGCCCAAGGTTCTGGCGGCGGCGCCGACGACGACGAGGATGCACAGCTTCAAGACGCCCTAGTGGCTCTCGCACGGCAGCTGGTCGAGGATGGCCACGTGCTCGACGAGGATGCGGTCCGCAGCGGCGCATCCGGCCTCACCGCCGCGGGCGGCGATGGCGGCGATGACGACGACGGCAACTTTGACATCGCCGCCGCGCTCGTCGAGGGACGTGACAAGAAGACCCGGGCGGCCATGGACGAGGAAGAGGAGCGACGGCGCGCGGCGCTCGAGGCGGCTCACGCCGACGACGGGCTTGACGAGGCCGTCATTGCGTCCATCACGGGTGATGAGGGACAGGCGGGCGCGTCGACCGACGAAAAGGCGGTGCTGGTCCAGTTCCGCGGGCTCAAGCTCAAGGTCGGGCCCGAGCGCTTCCGCTTCCTCGAACCCCTTTTCCGACCGGAGCTGCTCGAGGGCGTGCGCGGGGCCGACGAGGTCGCGTTGGGCGACGAGCCGTTCGGCGCCGGCCCCTTCCCCGACTTTGGTGTTGCCAGAGGCGGGCGGTTCGATGGCTTCGTCGCGCCCCTCGCATGGCCCGACTGGTCTCGCGTCGCATCGCTGCCGTCGTGCATCGCCCAGTCGATTGCGAGCATCGATGAGCTGGACCGCCGCGTGACGCTATGGGAGAACCTCATCCTGCACGGCTCGCCCGCCAAGATCAAGACGATCCAGATTGAGACCATCTCTGCACTCTCGGACCACGTCGCCTCGGCCGGTACAGAGACGGGCCAGGTCATGGGCGAGCCCAACCCGCTGCAGCCGCGCAATGTGCGCGCGCTGAGGGTACCCGACTACTTTAGCGAGTTCAAGGACCGCACCGACCTCGCCGGCTTCCTCGGCGCAACGGTCTATGCAAAAGTAAGCGGCCCGTTGTCCTCGTCATCGTCGCCAGGCACTCGAGGGCGTACATCGACAGCTCGCGTAACTGACTGCTTGACTGACGGACGGCTGTCGAAACCTGACTCTTTCCCTCATCCCTCTTCTCCTTTCGACGCGGCCAGCTCGTGTTCGGCGACTTGCAGGCCAAGAGCTACATTACCAAGCAGAACTACAACGAGATGGGGCCCAACGCCGCCTACAGCGTCAGGCCGACCACCTAGGCAGGCATGCCGCAACGCCTCCGTCGCCTCCGTCGCCCTCATTGTACTTTTACAACGCTCGACTACAACGCCCGACTGCCCACTTTTGCGTGCTTCGCTCGATCCAACCTCGAGCTAACCACACGTGACATCGGGGTACACATCGAATCGACCTGCGAGGGGAGATGGACCGAAGTCGAGGAGGCGGGAAAGCAGGGTGGCCAGGGTCAGTATGTTGCTGCAGCGCTACAGCGCAGCGGCTCGAGGCGAACGCGGGACTCGACTCACGCTGCGTCGAGATTGGGATTGTCTTGCGGACCTCGTTGATCTCTTCGGGATCGAGGGTGAAGCGCAGGACACCCTCGTCCTCCCCGAGCTTGAGCTTGACGTCTCCTCGCGGGCCGACGATGGTGCTGTATCCCCAGGCCGGGTAGGCCTTTTCGCCCTTGCGCCAGTTTTGCTGCTCGGTGAGTTGGCCGTCGAGGGCCGCTTGCGAGGGGCGCGAAGGCGAGCATGCGGCGACATAGAGCTGGTTGTCGGTGGCGCGGCAGCGCTGCAGCAGCTCCCACGACATGGGGCCGGTCGTTGTGTTGAAGGCGGCCGGGAAGATGAGACAGCCGGCCCCAAGGCGCGCGGCAATCATGGCGGGTTCGGGGAAGCGGAGATCGTAGCAGATGCCGAGGCCAAAGCGGCCATAGTCGCAGTCAAAGACGGTGACGCGTTCGCCGCCGGTGAGGGTCTTGCTCTCCTGGAACGTCATTTTGCCGGGGATGTCGATGTCAAAGAGGTGGAGCTTGCGGTGGATCGAGATGAGGTGCCCGCGCTGGTCAAAGACGCAGCTGGTGTTGAAGAGGCGGCCGGTGGCGTCGTCGCGCTCGGGGATGCTTCCGCCGACAATGACAGTGTTTGTCTGGCGCGCGAGCTGGCTGAGCATGACGGACGTGGGGCTGCTGGCGGCAATGTTGCGGTGCTGGGGCGCGTCTAGGTCGATGCGGTTGTCTTTGGACGAGTTGTCGACGGTCCAACGCACCTCTTGGTTGCCCGGCGCCATGCGCGGGAGGGCGGCGGGTAGCGGCCTCTTTATGCGGTCATAGGCTCCCGGAAGCGACTCTGCGTACTCTGCAAAGTACTGGACTCCATAAGGCGAGTTGAAGCACTCGGGCAGCACGACAATGTCGATCTTGGCATCGGAGGCGCCCTGCTGGTGCTGCTGGTGCTGCTGCTGCTGCTGCTGCTGCTGCTGCTGCTGCTGCTGCTGCTGCTGCTGCTGCTGCTGCTGCTGCTGCTGCTGCTGAGTTACCGACGACGTCAGCCTGAGTACGGCATCGCGTGCGCGCTCGAGGTTGGTTGACTTGGAGAAGGTCGTCTCGCCCAGCTGGACGAGGGCAATGTTGGCGCGCCTGAGCGAGAGGTTGGGAAGCGGGCTGGGCATGGCGGGTGGGGCGGATGTGGTCAAGCGGCGAGGTGCGGCGAGGGTGCGAAAGAGTGGCGGTGCGAGGGTGCGAGGCAGGCCGAAGAGCATGGGGAGCGGTGCAGCGGTCACCGGGCGGACGCAGGGGAGCACAGGTGTTCGAGGAGCCGCAGAAGTAGGGGAGAAGGCGGAAGGGATCGATAGACCGAGAGACTGCGACCTCACCTGCCACACAGGCGGGCCACAGGCACCGGCGGTGGCCAGCCGCCTGAGACTCGGTCCGTGCCGACCGGCTGGGCGGGGTTTTGGTCGGCCAATTGCCAGGTCCTGGCCTCGCCCCGATCCGGCCTTGCTTCCCGATGGCTGGCCTGCCCCTTGAGCGGCTTTTGAGGCAGGCCAGGCCTGGCGTCGAGGCGCGACGCGTTGCACTCTTGACTCAAAGTGCAAGGTGGAGGAGGCAGGGAGCCAACAAGAGGGCCAGGCCGATTAGCTCCTCCTCCTGGCAGCCCAAGCGAAACCAACTGAAAGGGCAGCACAGGCTCACCACCATCACCACCACCACCAACTTCCTCGTCGCCCTGAATCCCCCCCGGCCCTCGCAGCCATGGCAGTCGACGTCGAGCAGCAGTTCATGGACCAGCTCTTTGAAGGGCTCGATGCAGACACCTTCAACCTGCCATGGTCCTCGCAGCCCAGCCCGCAGCGCAAGCCGCAAGCCTCCCAGCGATCCCCCAGTCGCAGCCCCACGAGGCCACCATCCGCATCTGCCTCTCTAATCAAGCGGCGGTCTCAAACGCATATTCAGCAGCGCGGATCACACACCGACCCCGACGCCGACCCCGACGCCAACACCGACATCTCCCGCGACCTCAGGCCCAGTCCCTTTGCCCCAAACGTGCTCTACAGCCATGCCGATGTCGACACGCACCGCACCGGGGGATCGAAGCCCACGGCCGCAAACGATGCAGCCGACCGCCAAGCCGCTCAACCACGCCGTCCTTCCGCCCCTCTTCCTGCACGCACAGACGACCCCCTCAGCCGCTTCCCCACCAAAGGATGGAAGCTCGACGACATGAGCCAGCCCGCTCAGCTTCACCGCCAGCAGCAGAGACAAAGGCAAAGGGCCTACACACGCTGCCTCGTCGTCGGTATCGCAGAACGCGTTTACCACCCAGCCGGTCCCTCTTCCTCCCGACCTCGCGTCGAACGCGTCCTCATCCTCCACCTTTCGCACAGGGACCAGTCGCTCCCACCGCGCCGCCGCAATCGCTCACAGGCCGCTGCGGAAACGGTCCAGGATGAGCCAGAGGTGCGCATCGCCGTGCTCCGAGACGAGTGGCAGTCGACCGACGTCAGGCCAGGCGACTACATTCACCTCGTCGGCCGCTTCGAGCGCGACCAGACGTCCGTACCGCACCAATCGTCGTGGTCAGCCAGACTCGCGGACCGACAGGACCGGAATCACGGGCGATGTCGAGGCGACGATGACGCAGCCGTCGCAACGCCAAAAGTCGAGGTCGAGATCAACGCCGACACCAGCTCGTTGCCGTCGTCTCGCTGCGCAACAGAGCCCGATGGCGACGCCGACGATGACGCCGACCTGTGGGCGGAGATGGGCAGCCTCCCCTCGCTCTCACAGCCGTCGCCCTCACAGTCGCAGCCGGGCCAGACGGCGCCGACCATGATCCTCTCATCGCAACCCGCTAGCCAGTGGGACGATTGGGACAGCCGCGACAACCTCCTCATTCTCCATCCAGACGTCCTTGTGCCCGCCACCAAAGTCTCGGATGTCTCGTCGTGTGTGCGAAAGCCCGTCGTGCAGGACCGGCTCCGTGGCGGTTCGGACCTCACGGTCCCGCTGGTCCTCGGCACCATGCTCCACGAAGTGCTGCAGGCCTGCCTCACCGGGCGGGGCTCAAGCATCGACGCCAAAGAAGAGCGAGCACTGCTCGAGACAATTTGCCGGGTCAAGCGCGAGGAAGAGCAGCAGAGGGAGCGGGAACAGCAGCCGAACCGGCAGGACGAGGCGGCAGATCACGAGCAGCCGAGGCCACCACCATCGAGGTCAGATTCAGGGCTTGACGCACCCGCCTCGGTCCGCGACTGGCCCGCCACCTGGACGGGCATCGGCGACTTTTCGCGGCCCTTTGCTCTCGCTCAAATCCGCTCGCAGGTGCAGCTCAACATCGACAGTCTCTTTGCCATCGGGCTCGATACTGACCAGGCCTACGCCAGGCTCGAGGCCGCTGCAGCACCGTTCGGCCGCTTTGCCGCTGTCTACCTCACTGCCGACGAACGAGATATTGGTTCCGACGGCTTCAGGGACGATGCCACGATCGCCGACATCAGATCTGCCTCGTCTGCGCCGGTAAAGACCCGGCTGACGCGCATCCTCGACGTCGAAGAAGAGGTGTGGTCGCCCATGTACGGCCTCAAGGGCAAGGTCGACGTCACGATCGAGGCGCTCGTTCTCGAACCCGACATGGACAGCAATGGCGGTGGCGGACAGCTCTTGGACGGGCAACCCAGGCGAACCTTTTCGGATCCGCGCTCGGCATCGATGTCAGCGCCCTTACGCACCCGCTCCTTAGCCGCCGTCGGCTCCGCCACCGCTGCTCCGCTGTCCACTGCTCGATCGGCTCGCGGCCATCTCTCAGTCTCGGTGATGCCGCTCGAGCTCAAGACGGGCCGTTCTACTGCCGTCGGCATGGAGCACCGTGCCCAAACGATGCTCTACACGCTGATGCTCTCGGACCGGTACGGCTGCGACGTCCAAGATGGTCTGCTCTACTATTCAAAGAGTGGCCAGCTTCACCGCATCCGCAAGAGCCGGAATGAGGTGCGCGGCCTCATCATGGGTCGGAACGAGCTCGCCGGATATCTTGTGAAGAGGGAGGGCGATGACGGCAGCGGCGAGGATGTGACGGCGCCGCTCCCGCCCACGATCGACAATGATCACAAGTGCAGGCGATGCTATGCGGTCGACGGATGCATGCTGCTGCGCCGCGCCATCGAAAACGTGGTCGACCCCGATCCGAACAGCGAGGGCGCAGAGCTCACCAAGGACGCTGCCGTCGTTTCGACGCCCATCGCTGGGCTGTACGCGCAAAAGACGGCGCATATGACGCAGACGCACGCCGACTTCTTCAAAAAATGGAGCAGCCTCCTCTCGCTCGAGGAACAGGACCTGGTCCGCTTCCGCCGCGAGCTGTGGACCATGACGGCCGCCAGCCGCGAGAACGTGGGCCGCTGTTTTGCCGACATGCGCCTCGTTTGCCGCGACGAGGGCGCAGGCGCTTCCGAGCGGACCAGCGCAAGGATGATGCGTCGCTTCACGTATGCATTTGAGCGATCCTCGCCTGACGATGGCGGGATCTTCGGGAGCCAGGCCTCTGCGGCCGCAACGAGCCTCCTCAGCGGCCATATTTCGCTCAACGATCCCGTAACCATCTCGATCGAGCCGGCGCTGCTGTCAGTGGCGCAAGGATTCGTCACGGCGCTGACGGCGACGCGTATCGAGATCGGGTTGGACCACGACCTGCTGCCGTCGCTCCAGCGATCTATCGAAGAAGCCGGCTCGACGCGGCTCGACGCTTCGGCCATGGCCTCGATCGTGTTTCGAATCGACCGCGACGAGCTGTCGGCCGGCATGGGCAAGGTGCGCTCAAACCTCGCCGCCCTCTTCTGGCCGGGCGAGGCTGGTGATACCAAACGGCGCGAGCTCATCGTTGACCTCCGCCCGCCGCGCTTCTCGTCATCTGAGGCAGGCGAGGTCGGCGGCAACGGCCAGGTGTCGACGCCGGCGCTGCCCGATCATCTCAACGTCGACCAACGCGCCGCGATGCACAAGGTGTTGAGCGCCCAGGACTATGCGCTGATTCTCGGCATGCCGGGCACGGGCAAGACGACGACGGTGGCCGAGCTCATCAAGCTGCTTGTGTCGCGCGGCAAGAGCGTGCTGCTGACGAGCTACACGCATAGCGCCGTCGACACCATCCTGCGCAAGCTCGTCATCGACGGCCGGCGTTCCTGTGATCAGCCAGGGCTGGAAGGGCAGTGCCATCGCCCACTGCGGATGCTGCGCCTCGGCAACGCCGACAAGGTGCATCCAGACACGCGCCACTTGACGCTGCCGCCCGCGTCGACAACCGCGCACCTCGAGGAGCTGCTGCTGGCGCCGGACGTGGTGGCGACGACCTGCCTCTCAATCTCGCACGTCGTCTTCTCCAAGAGGCGCTTCGACTACTGCATCGTCGACGAGGCGTCACAGATCACGCTGCCAACCTGCCTCGGCCCCCTGCGCTTTGCCGATCGCTTTGTGCTCGTCGGCGACCACTTTCAGCTACCGCCGCTGGTGCGCAACCCGCAGGCCAAGCGAGGCGGGGGCGGGCTCGAGACGAGCCTGTTTAAGCTGCTCAGCGAACGGTACGAGGCCGAGGCTATGGTCTGCCTCCGCCGGCAGTACCGCATGAATCGCGACGTTATGGCGCTCAGCAATGAGGTCATCTACGGCGGCCGGCTGCGGTGCGGCAGTGAGGCCGTGGCAATGCAGCGGTTGTCGCTGCCGAGGCGAGTCGGCGGCAAGCACGAGGAGCGCACCAGGGCGCTGCCGGAATGGACGAAGAGGGTGCTGGACCCGGACCACTCGGTCGTCTTCCTCGACACCGACGCGCTGCCCTCGCTCGAGTCGTGCAGCGGATCGCTGCTGCAAAACAGCGGCGAGATCCGGCTGGTGACGCTGTTGGCCAACGTGCTGCTACAGGGCGGCGTCGCGCCAGACGACATGGCGGCCATCACGCCGTATCGACATCAGCTGAAGCTGCTCTCGCTCTCGCTGCATCCGGCGATCGAGACGCTGACGGCCGACAAGGCTCAGGGACGCGACAAGGACGTCATATTCCTCTCTCTCGTCCGGTCCAACCGCTTTGGCACCGTCGGCGAGCTGCTGCACGACTGGCGCCGGTTAAATGTGGCCTTTACTCGCGCCAGGAAGAAGCTCGTCGTCGTCGGAAGCTGGTCCACACTCGAGGCCAGCGACGAGGTCAGCAAATTTCTCGGCGTCATTGCGCGTCGTGGATGGAGAACGCCCGTCGGATCGTGGAGCGAGGTCGACGACGTGGAACGGGGCGTCAGAGAGGCCGCGTCCGATATTGACGCGGAGGCAGAGGGGGCCGAGCCGGCATCGTCCAGAAGGAACGTCAAGATGGGCGGTGCGCCGCCGCCGTCATGTTTGCCCGTTCAGAGAGATGGAGACATCATGTCGGCGTCCGTATCCCCCACCTCTTCGCCCTCCCCGAACCGTCGCAGCACGATCACCGCCACGACGACGACACCACCACGACCATCACAGAGCAAACTCACAAGTTTCTTTTCCAAGTCGTCTTCGTCGGCATCATCAGGGCAGCTACAGGAACGAGGAGCGGAAACGGCACGTCCGACCAAGCGGACTAAGCTGAGTGAGAGGGCGCTCAAGAAGCGAGGCGTCCTGCGCGATCTGCTCAACGAAGTCGAGGGATAAGGATCCGTCCGCCATGCGTTGGTGCATTCTTGCGGTGGTGGAGGAAGACGGGTGGATGGATCCTCGAAATCCCGAGGCCTTTGTATGCGTCCCTGAGCACATGCCTGACGTGCTTGCCCGGTACATGCCGTCTCCTCACTGTCATGGCGGGTAATGTCTAGGCTCACCGGCCATCACGTACCTTTGCCCAGGTACTTTTGCCAACATTCCGAAATCGACTTCTTACAAGCAGCAGGTCTGTTCGCTGATGACTGATTCTCACCGCCCCCGCCCAATCAAGTAGCGAGGCAGAGGCAAAGTTCTGGCGGCTCGATGCGTCGACCTCAACCGGCCGCCGCGACGCACGCACGGACACGCAAGCTCGGCGGTAGTCAGCGAGCCCGGCCTGGGCTCGAGCAACGCTCTGACGCTCGCCCGCGGACGGCAAGTTCAAAAGGAGCTGCGGCCAGAGAAGCGAGCCGCTACCGTGGCTGCCAGCGGGGAGAGAAACCGACGACGAGGTCTTCCTGCCCTGACAAGCCGAGTCTTTTCGCGGCAAACGGCCGGCGACGGTGATGCGGCGGGACCTCCGCGAAGAAGGATTGTGGGACTAGCCCAACGAGAGGAGAAGGGGGCGAGGTCCGGAGTGAATGTGTGTGTGCCTGTGCTGCGCGCTACCGGGCAAGGTGAGCAGAACCTGCCCACTTTTTCCCTCTCCCTGTCTCACCTCCTATCTCTTGAAACCCCTCGCCTTTTCCCGTTTAGACGGGCATGGCGACGCCGGAGACGACGAGACAAACAACAGAGGTGAAAAGCTGTACCAACGACCTGTGAGCGACCGGCAGCGGCCGTGGCAGCCCATTCTTAGCCTGTCCCGAACTCGATACGCCTGCTGCATGCTGCGCGGAGGCTCTTACATGGCGCCCTGTGCGATCTCGCCAAATAGGATGGGCCGACGTTGTTGCTGCTGGCGGCCGCAGAAGATATCATCGAGCAGCGGCGTGTCCATCTAGTCCGACGTGGCCGATGCCCGCAGAAAGGTCGATCAGGCCCCGGCTGCGATGGACTCGAGACTCTTAGGAGGACGCGTTGCTGGGCTCCGACGAGCTCGAAGAGATGAAGGGAGCTTGGACAGGACCCCAACCCCCCCTCGATGCCCTCCTTTTCCTGGGATTACTTTGAGCACTTGTGTTGGCAACGATGTCATTCACAGCTTTGTCGGCCAACCAGCGGACCAATACCAATCGCTACTGCATGTCAGGAAGCTGAAGTAGCTGGCAGTAGGGCGAATCGAGGATGGGACAGCCAAAATCTTAAGATTAAGAAGGGGAAAATGGTTTGACAAAAGCAAGTGCCCTCAACCTGGGTCGAACAGGTGACCTTGCGATTTGTTCCGACTCGAGGAGCCGAAGGCCATTAACCGAAAACGCTTCAGTCGCACGCTCGTACCAGCTGAGCTATAAGGGCGGTTGATGTTTCTTCGGAAAACTGATACATATATATTTTAAAAAGTTCACTTTCGTGGAGCTGAGCTCACAGGATGCCGTGTCGCAAGCCAGAGATTCATCGCTTGCATGGAGCTCGATTCGAAGGATCAGGCAGAGGCCACAAAGCTTGGCCCTGCGCCGATACCAGGAACTTATTTAGAGACATTTCGCAACACACTCGGGCTGCGACTCAGGCACCGAGATGGTGCTCTGGCGCGATCTTGGGGTCTCTGGCGCAAATTTCGAATTGTTGTGCGACTCGGGCTGCCAAGTCAGAGCCCACCAGACATCTCAGCCCGAGTTCAACCAGTTTGTCCAGAAGCTCGGACCGGAACTGGGGCTGCGACCTAGTTTTGCGAAACGTCGTCAGCCCGAGTTGCACCCCGAGTTTAAGGGACCCTGGGGCGAGCACCAGCTCGGGGGCCGAGTCGCAGCCCGAGTGATTTGCGAAACGTCTCTAAATTTGCCCCCAATAGAAATCGGGCAACAGAAGCAATCCGCCTGGACACGCCCGCCGAGCGCTAGCACCAAAAGCTGAGTTTCCTTCAATCTGTACCACGAAAGCACATCGATTTTGCGAATCAACGCGGACTTGGGCTCTGAGGACAAGACGCAAGCGTCCGCGTTGTGGGCAGACCGCGAAGCAAAAGTCACTGCCCTCAACCTGGGTCGAACAGGTGACCTTGCGATGTGTTCGACTCATGGAATCGAAGGTCTAAACTGAACTGAGCTTCAGTCGCACGCTCGTACCAGCTGAGCTATAAGGGCTGCTGATGTAAGCGACGCTGGTGTTTCTTTCTATATTGTTGCGAACGTTCATGCGAGATCGAATCAATCGTTCCCGTTCGTCCCTCTGCTCCACGAAAGGCCTCGGGCCTGGCTCTTGCGCCCTTAAGACCGTCATCGCCACTCTGCTTCGACGACGGGACAGGGGGCCGAGTGTCCCGAGCTCCATGCTCCCGTCTTTACGATGTCATTCTAGGGAAGCACGGACGTGAGATCATCGTCTCTCCGACGAGACTGGGCAAGACGCCAGGATGCATCACGGGACCGGAACGAGTGAGGTGGAAGACAGAAGGAGCGACGTTACAGGTGCCGGCTGGCTTCGCGGATGCCCTTGACGACCGTGGCTGCATCCCCCGAAAACACTTCGTAGATAAAGGCCTTGGAGCTCTGCGATGAATTCGGGAAAACAGAAGGGGGAGGGGATGCGGGCGGTCAGCGAGAGACCACAAACGGCACTCGGCAACGCGGTACGAGCACTCACTGTTCGAACGGTAAACGACTTGCCACCCTTGAATTCGACCGCGGTCAAGAGGTTGGGCCCGGCAAGCGAGACCTTTTCCTTGAAGTCAGTCTGGCCCGAGCTAACCCCTGCATGGACCAAAGGAAACGGTTCCTCGGCCGTCGTCGTCGTCGTCGTCGTCGTCGTCGTCGTCATCGTAGTCGTCGTTGCCGCCGCCGAAGAGGCTTCGCCTCGACCGTGCACGCGCAAGAAGCTCTCCTGAACGGGAGTGTCGATGGCGATGCCGAGGATGACCTCACTCTTGACCTTGAGCACGTCTGGCGTCTCCTTGACGCAGAGCAATCTCGGAAAGTTGGTGAGGATGAGCTGCCGCCGCTTGGAAAAGATTTTGCCGGTGCCCGTCTTCTTTTGGATGACGGGGCACGAGTAGAGCATCAGTTCGTGCGGCAGCAGCAGCGCATTCCATGATAGGATCCCTGGTGCGCCGCGTGGAGTGGGCGCCGGGCTGAGTTGGGCGCTCGAACGCATCGGCGATCGCGACTCCCTCGAGTACCGGCTGCCGACGCTCTCGGACGCCTGGTCGCGCGACTTGCGGCTCGCCGTCTCGATAGACATTGTCGAGATTCTCCGACGCGGCATCGGGGCGGTTAGCGAGCCAAACATGCTCAGGCCGCTGCCAGACGGGCTTCGCGGGCTTGGCTGTTCCGAGCCGGCCGAGCTCTTCGTCGTGAGGCCGTCCATGATGCGGAGGAGGCCGCTGCTGCGACGCTGCGGCGCGCTTGGCGGCTGCGGCGCCTCGATGGGTATGTCGGAGTCGGCATCCGAGGTGCCGTCTGAAAGGTCCGAATCGTCGGCATCGTCGGACCGTTGGCGCCGGCTGTCATCGCCGCACGACGAAGCGGCGTCCTGCGAGCTTTGCGCCCCTTGATCAGGCCCCGGCGACTGCTCTGAAACGAAGCTCTCGTCGAAGGACATCTCGGACCGCGAACGCGACCGCGAACGGGATCGCAAAGACGAGGCGCGCGAGACCTGCTTGACCGGCTCGGTGATCCCGGTCTTGACCGCCGGCACCGGCTGCTCCCAGAGTGTGGCGAATTCGATCGAGGAAAAGTAGGGATGCGCAAGAACATCGACAGCAGACAAGCGCGCCTGCGGATCTAGCACGAGAAGGCGATCCACCAGGTCGCGAGCATCCTCCGGAAAGCCGTTCGGGAAGGCGAAATCCCGGTGCTTGACCTTCTGCAGCGTCTGATACTCGTTGACTCCCTTGAACGGCGGCCGACCAGTGATCATCTGGAAGACGACGCAGCCAAAGGCCCACCAGTCCGATGCCTTGCCCGCTGGTTGGACCGTATCGGCCAGCAGCTCTGGGCTGACGTACTCGGCGGTGCCGACGAAGCTCGCGGCCCGATTGCGTGTCTGTGCCGCGGCTGACTGCGTCGAGTTGCTGGCTTCGGTGCTGTCCAGCGACAGGAGCTTGGCCGAGCCGAAGTCGGTCACCTTGATGCGCATGTTGGCGTCCAGCAGCACGTTCTCCGGCTTCAGGTCGCGGTGGATCACTCCGACCTCGTGCATCGCGCGGATAGTCTCGGCGAGCATGGCGGCGTAGAAGCGTGCGCAGTGCTCGTCGAAGGAACCGTACTTGCGGATGAAGCTGAGCAGCTCGCCGTTGGCCGCCAGCTCAAGCACAAAGTCTGCAGCGCGGGAGACGGGGGAGATAAGGGGGTTGGGGGGTTGGTAAGCTTGGCCGGACCCGCTGCCCACCCACGGTTGAAGAGGACCGGATCCACCGGTCAGAACCAGTCGATGAGGACTCACAGAGGGATTCGCGATCCTGAAATGTCCAAAAGAGCGTGACGACGCCAGGAAACTTGATCAGGCGGCTCAACGCCTCCTTTTCGACAGTGACATACTTCTGCTTGCCCTGCTTGAGGATGTGCACCTTGTCGAGCACTTTGACGGCGTAGACTTTTTTGCCGGTCAGGTCGACCTGGCCGCGCCCACGCTTTTGGCCGGCGCCTACCATGGCGGCGGCAGCAGAGATGGCGTGCGGATCGAGCGCGCCTGGCTCTTTGGGGTCCGGTCCCGACAGCAGGTCCCAACCTTCGAGGACGGTCGAGTAGGAGCCTTCGCCCAGCGTCTCGCCGAAGTGGAAGTCGGTCGGGCAGCGCGTCGAGGGCTTGACCGGACTTCGCGGCGGGGGCTGAGGTGTGCCGTCCCTCGATGCGGTACTGACCTGTGAATCGCGCCGCACTGAACGCGGCGGCGGCCGGAGCGTGCTCGAAGTCGAGACGTCGGCGGCACTCTCTGCGAGCGCGAGCCCGGGCACGGCCGGCATGTCCTGCGAGTTGCTGCTGCTATCGGCGCGCAGCAACGGCGGTCTCTGGATATTGACTTGCGATTCCTCGACTTGCTTCGCCAGAGGATCCTGGGGAGCGTGGCCGTCCTCTTCTGCTCGCGGACTAAGCTTGGGTCCTGGCAGACGGCTGAGGCCTTCGAGCACCTCGTGGAGCGGCGAGCCGCTTTCAGCCTTTGGGGCGAGCCCGGTGTACTTGGACACGACCATTGGCGCGTTCGTGACCGTGCTGGTCTTGACCAGAAGCTCGGTCGGGGTCGAGCTGAAGGATGACGAAGGACCCGGCGTCGAGAGCATGCGGGGGCTGTGTGGCCCAGACGAGAAGAAGGATGCGCGCGTGCTGAGCGGGCTGCGCGACCCGGGGACCATAGCCACGTTCTCCTCGCTGCTCGACGAGGCTCTCGATGGCTGTATCGAGCCCACAAAGCTCGGGTCGCCGACGGAGTCGCCGAACGGCGACGTCGACTGGGTTTGCATCGACGCCGTCTTGAGCCCGAGCTTGCTGGCGCTCTTGGCGATCTTGAGGCGCAAAGCATCACGCGTCCGCTTGCCTGGAGTTGCCTGGCCGGGATCGATGGGGTCCTCGTCGGCATCGCCCGCATCGACGTTGCTGGAGGGTCTCAGCCTCGAGCCCCGCATACCTGGTGCGTTGCGATAGAGCCAGGCATTGTTGTTGTTCTTGGGCACGCCCTTGTGGCGATCAGAGGGGCCCTTGGGCTCGGGCGGCAAGCCGGCTGCAGGCGGACCTGGTTCAATGGCTAGCGGCGATGTCGATCCAGGCGTACGGCTACTTTGCTGTTGGGGCTGCGGGGGGGAGAAATGGGTGAAGGCGAGGCGGGAGGCTCGGTTGCCAGAGATGCCGCCAAAGCCGACGCGGACGTTGCCCAACGGTGCCTCTCGAAAGGGGGCGGCCTCCAGGCTGCTGGTGCTGTTGACGCTGCTGACGCTGCTGATGGACTTGGCGCGGCCCAGGCTGGAGCCGCTGTCATTGGTGTTGGCATAAGGGTCGCGGAGGGGGTCGTTTGCACGGCCAGGCTCGTGAGAAGGCGACCACGGGCTGGGGACGAGGGAGTGGGTCGAGGCGCCGCGAATGCTGGCGACGCGGCTGCTCGAAGTCGAGGGGAAGCGCCGCGGGAGGGCGGCCGAGTCAGAGATGCGATGGTCCTCGTCCTCGGATGTGAGATTGATGGGCGATTCGGCCTTGTGGGAGCGGTCCTCTGCCTCTGAGCCTGCGCGGGACAGGAGTCCGTGGCGAATGCGTCCGGTGGTGGGGACTCGTGTGACGGTGGCGGTGCGTGAAGAGGGAGCGCTCTTTGCGTCCTGGCTGATGGATGCGACAGGGGCCGAGACATTGGGCGGCGATGTGCCAGTGCTGAGAGCCTTTTCGGGCTCGCTTGGCTGCGGCGGATCCACCATGGCGGACGTGAGCGTGAGAGGGGAGCGATGGGCAGGGGCCGAGGTGGTATCGAGGGGGATCGATGATGGCTGCCTCTCTGCGCGCCTCTATACGCCGGCGCGAGGCCAGGATGAGGGGGTGAGGAGGTCTATGATGCCTCGTCGCTCTGGTGTGCGCCCATGGTGGGTGAGGGTGGTGTGTGCTCGGGAGGTAGGTCGCGGCCGACGGGACGGGACGGGGCGGGACGACGTTGGGCGTGGACAGAAGAGGGACGAGGAGAGGGCGGCGTTTGTGGACTGTGTGGGCGCTTGACCTACTGAATGGAGGGCCTACGAGATGCACAAGGCGGTGCACTCGAGAAAGAGAGTTGGGTGGTCAGATTCAATGCGGAGCCTGATTGTCGTCGTCGTCGTCGCTGTTGCCGTTGCGGTCTTGGTCGTCGAGGAGGGGGAGGAGGAGGCTAACTAGGCTAGGATGGCAGCACCCGCCCACAACGTCGACGTGACTGAAACTACCTTGGCTCCCTCCTCTTCTCTCTCTCTCTCTCTCTCTCTCTCTCTCTCCCCGGTCTCTGGCGCACAGCCCCATGGCTCATGGGGTAGGCAGGGCTGCCGCGAGGCAGGTCGACGGCCCGTTCGCCCAGACCCCTTCTTTGTTTCTTTCCCCCCCCCTCTGGCCTGTCATTCTCCGACTTCCGAGAGCAGCCGCCGGCGCCGAGCGTGGCGACAGATTCGTGACTGGCGAGCTGGGCTGGCTGCCAACACAGCCGACCACGACCTCCACACACCTTTCCGCTGTCCAAAGAGCCTCGCTTTCTCGACTCTTGTTCCCACCATCGACCATCGACCCATCCCCTCTCTTCCTCCCGCTTCCATCCACCTCGATCGGCCGTCGAATCATCAAATCTCGTCCAAAGGCGCAGGCGGCAACAATGTCGGCGATCGGAAAGCGAAAGGCCCACCCCGTCAACCCTGCAGCCCGCCTGTCGCACGATATGGCAGACCCCTCATCATCGTCCCTCCCATCCAAACGGCACAGATCTGGCGATGTCGCGCGCGACGCAGCATCCAGCGGCACGTTGGTCCACGACACCATCGAAGATGACCCAGAGCTAGAGGAGCAGGACCGCAAGCGCAACCAGCAGGGCAGAAAGGGCCGCCTCATCACCTCGGGTTACGAATCGGAATCCTCCGACGAAGACGACGGCGCCACCCACAGGAGAAGGGCCGAGCGCAAGGCCAAGACCGCAGACGACAACGATGACGACGGAGACGACATGTTTGCGGCAAACTCGGACCACGAGGGCGGCGGCGGCGACGAAAGCGACAAGCACAAGCCTCGTCAGCGCTTCCTCCAGCTCGGAGAGATTGAAGGTCAGGAATTCGCGTCCAGGTCCCGCGACAAGGACCAGGACAGCGGCAGGGAGGACAACGGCGACGACGAAGACGACGAGCAGGATCCTGACCTGGAGCTCGAGGAGTCCGAAGACGAAGACGACGATGCCGTCGGCGACGGGGCAATGGACCTCAACGCACGGAGCGAAAAGACGCCGCCCACCTCGCCAGGCGGCACCCCGCTGCGCGCCGCAGAGATGAGCCGCAAAAGAAAAGCCGAGGCCGGCAAAAGCGGAAAGCGAGGCAGCGCCGTCAGGATCACCGGCTTCAACATGAAGGAAGAAATGCAGACGGGCAAGTTTGACGAGGAGGGCAACTACATCGAGAACGCCAAGGACCCGCACGCCGATCACGACGTCTGGCTAGCGGGCAATTACTCGCGCAGCAAGATCCGAGCCGCAAGAGAGGCGCAACAGAAGCGGGAGCGCGAGCTACAAGAAAAGGAGGCAAAAGCCGACGAAGAAGACAACGACGAAGACGACGTCAAGAAGCGCCTGGTCGAGCACATGCGCAGGGCCGAGACGGTCCTCGGTACGCTGCAGCGGCTCGGCAAGGAGGCCAAGAAGGACAAGGGCCCAAAGGCGCAACGGCGCGGGATCAAGCAGAGGCGATTCAACAGCTCCAACAGCGATCGCGCAGCGGCCGACGACAACGACATGGACGTCGACGCGGCAGCAGCCAAGGCCGAGGCCAAACCGCAGGCCGTCCTCGACCTCGAAGTCGTGACCCACCTCTCGTCGGTCCTCATGTCCCGATTTGGTCAGATGGACATCTACGAGCAAACCTACGAGGGCCTGCTGCGCGATGTGAGGAAATCCGGTCTCGTTCGAGGCACCTTCGACCCTGCCTCGCGCTTCGACGAGCCGTCTGCATCAGCCGGCGCCTGTCCCGGCATGTCAGAGGCCGAGGCAGCGGAGCCTTCCGCACAACGGTGGGAGTACCGGTGGTCACCGTCGTACCTGGCTGCGGCGGCTCAATCTTCCGGCGGTTCCGTCGCACCAGACATCGAGATCTTTGGACCTTTTCCCAAGGCAGACATCAAGGGCTGGGCTGGGGCAGGCTATTTCGGAGACAACGGCGAGCGCGTCCTGCTCAGGCTAGCTGGATCAAGAGACGCCTGGAGAACATATGCCGAATGTATGGCCTCGTGATGTAAAGGGAAACAGAGGCAGTAACTCTGCCTCGAAAAAAATGTACCATGACACTGTCTCATGGTCCCGCGATGCCTTCAGCGCATGACCGGGTGCAGCCTGAGCCTGCCATAGCCAGCATCGAGGGTGGTGTGTTCTGTCCGGTCCAGAGGGTGCCGTTTGGGGCGGCAATGCGGTTGGGTCAGCCCGCCTTGCCATACGAACGACATGGGTGCGGGAAGCGGCAGCACTCACCAACGCCATCAGGAGGAGCCGAGGAGGGCAGCTTGGCAGCCGATACTAAGCCACGAAGGCGGCGGATAGGACGTCATCAGCAATCATCCGAACACCAAGACGAGCTGGTCCGAAAGCATTGCACTCACCGTAGAGCTCGACCTCGTAGAGACCCTCGCCGTGGCGCTTGATCCAGTCGCGTTCCTCTGGGTCATCAGCGACCTTGACGTGCACCTTGATCCTGTGCTTTCGACTGACGGCGGCGCAGCCCTGTCGCAGCTCGTTCGGTCCCGATCCGGGCTCAGCGTCAGCCGGAGCGCGAAGGACGAGGTTGGGCGGTCGGGCCACGGTGAGGTCCTGATGAGACGCATCGGAGAGGGACGCCAGGTCGAGGGGCAACGACGTGCTGAGCGCCAGATCCTTGAAAGCGATTGCGGAGCGTTCGTGCGAGTAGAGAAGGGTGATGGAGCTGACGCCCGTCGACTGGTTCGGGTGCGACGAATGCAGGCTCGGGACTGACGAGTGACCGTTGACGGCGAGCAGCGTCCGTTCCGCACGTCAGCATGGCGCAATCGCTTCCCCGACGGGCTCGCCAAGCATGGCTGGCTACGCTCACCTCTCCACTCTCGCGGGTTGAGATCCTCGCAGTAGAACGGCACGCTGTTCCTCTTGCATCCGACCTCGAGGCCCGTCGCTTGTTCCTTTGTGCCTCGCGGCGAGGGAAAAGTGACGTGCCATCCGAGCTGCTTTCCATCGAGCGTCTTCCTGCCACCTCTCTGCGGAGCATCGTAGCGGAGGGTCGGCAGCGTAACAGCGGCAGCAGACAGGTTCCGCTTCTCCCTCTCCTCGCCTACTGCTTCCGCACCTCGAACGAGGTTCAGCAGGCCGCGTCGGTGCTCCTCGGCGGCCACGTTGATGGCAGCGATGCGACCATCCTCGACGCCGCCGAGGAGGCTCCAGTCGATCCAGCCCGCCTTGGAGTGGTACCACCAGTGCTTCTTCCTCCTCGCCTCGTAGTCCGCCTGAGACTCGGTGGATTCCGGCGGAGGGCCCTTGTCGAACTGAATCAGCTCGATGTAAACGCCGTCGGGCAGAACGAGAAGCGCGTTCGAGGTAAGGTCGTCGGCGTGTCGTCCTCCGCGAACGACGATGAAGCCAAGATTCGAGAAGATGGCAATCGCCTCGTCGAGCTGCTCCGTGCTCTGCGTGGAGGCAGTGTATGGATCGTTGAGGAGAAGAATCAGGTGATCCAGGTGCGGAATCTGGTCGGGATCAGTGTGATCCGCCATGCTTGCTAGGTTGGTTGTCGTTGATGCGGATAGCTCAGTGTTTCGGACGCAAGTACTGGACACCCGGGCTGAAGGGGTACGGGCCTCTCAGTCTCATCGCCTCATAGGCGGTCGAGATGAAGTCGAGGGCAGCGGTGTCGAGTCAGACACGGGGCGATGAAGGCGAGAACGATGCTGTGTTCAGGTCGGAGAAGACGTGCACACGACTGAGGGTCCGTGCATGCGCACCTAATCTATGGCCGTAGGTCCACCCACGTACGGGGCGTGTCTTGCTTGCAAGTCTGCAGCATGCTGGTGCGGTTGGCATCCTTGGCATTGGTCCAGTTCAAGTGCATCGCAGTGATTGTCCAGGCATACAAGTTGGCAAAACATCCAGTGGCAAACCTACATGCTGCTTGTGTTCTTGAAGCTCTGTGTCACAAAGCTGTTGCAGTTCTGCATGAGCCTGGTACAGGGATGCACGGCCCTGAGTGACACAGCATCTTGCAGACAGAGGGTGCAACATGGGGCCTGGTCTGAGCCCACATGGCACTGGAAGTGTGTGGTCTCTGATTGCAGTTGTTGATTGACAGATGGAAGGCATTGAGATGATTTGGGACATTGAAGGCAACCATCATTGGACACTCCCCTTGAGCAATCCACTGGACAAAGCTGAACTGTTCAAGGTCCAACTTGACAATGCTCATTGCCACCAGGGCAGATGTGAAGGGCCAGAGGGTGGCACGCCTGGCAGCCTTTTAAGCCAGGCTTGCAATGAAGCCATCAAGTGGGGCATCCTCTGGAGCTGTCATTGGTATTGCTTTGTAGGGGCCAACAGAGAGGGTTTCCAGATCAGAAGTTTGAATGGTTGGCCCATCGATGCCCTGCTCTCTCTTGCAAATGCCGTTGATCGCCCTTCTCAGCCGCTCCTTGCAGGGCTGCCCCCAACTTCTCTGGTGGCCCTTGAACCAGCATGCCTGGCAGAACTCTGTTTGCGGAGTGATTTGTTACAATCATGGACAGGGAAGGCATAGCTAGCGTCAAAGGTACCTACAGTTTGGGCCATAGGGGTCCTTTGGCCCTGTGCTCAGAAATTGGGAGTGTCCTTCGGCCTTTTTGGGCCACAAGGGTCCTTTGGTTGGAATTTGGAGGACTCCTGCTGTCCAAAAAGGCCAAACGACCCCTACAGCCGGAACTTGGAGGCCATCTGCGCTATCTTGAGCCGCAGGGCCCAGCGTAGGAAATTACCTTTGGTTGCTTATGTCAGCTCAGGAAGCCAGGCATGCGTGCGCTGGCCCCTTTGCCACCTGGCCCTTTGCAAAATCCATCCGCCGCCCTCCCGTCTCTCCTGCCCTCCTACCACCACCACCCGACGCCAGCTGCCACCACCTGACGCCAGCCATCACCCGCCAGCACCCGTCAGCACCCGCAAGCACCCGCCAGCCAGCTGCCAGTCAGCCGTCAGTCAAGCATAGCTGCCACCTGCCTGGCTCAGCCAGCACCCGCTAGGACAAGCCAGCCAGCCGCCAGCCAACAGCAAGCCCCCCGCCAGCCAGCCGCCGTCAGCGCAGCCACAGCCGCCAGCGAGGCCCAGCCAGCCAGCACCGAGCCGTTAGCCAGCCATCCGCCGGCCAGCCAGCAGCCAGCCACTCGCCA